AAAAGTACAAAAAAGGGAATAAAAATGAAAATAAATGGGAATAAAAATGAAAATAAATGGGAATAAAAGTGAAGAAAAATGGGAATAAAAGTACAAAAATGGGAATAAATGTGGAAAAATGGGAATAAATGTGGAAAAATGGGAATAAATGTGGAAAAAAATGGGAATAAATATGGAAAAATGGGAATAAATGTGGAAAAAAATGGGAATAAATGTGGAAAAATGGGAATAAAAGTGAAAAAAGGAATAAAAATGAAAATAAATAGAAATAAAAGTGAAAATAAATGGGAATAAAAGTCAAAAAATGGGAATAAAAGTGGAAAAATGGGAATAAAAATACAAAAATGGGAATAAATGTGGAAAAATGGGAATAAAAATGAAAATAAATGGGAATAAAAGTGAAGAAAAATGGGAATAAAAGTGGAAAAATGGGAATAAATGTGGGAAAAATGTGAATAAATGTGGAAAAAAGGGAATAAAAATGAAAATAAATGGGAATAAAAGTACAAAAAAGGGAATAATTTTGTTTCTGGCCCCCCTAGGGCCTGGGAATGGCAGCGGGATTTGGGAATTTGGGGAATTTGGGGAATTTTCCCTCTGGAAAAGCGGGAATACCTTGTTGCTTCCGTCCTGCAGCGGGAGTTTCATGGAAGAGAGGATGCTGAGTTTCTTGATTTCCATCTGGGAAGCTGGAAAAAAACGGGAATTTGGGATGGAATTCCTGAAAATCTTGGAATTTTCAATGGGAATTCTCAAAGTGTTGCTGGAAATTTGTGTTAAATGGGAATAAATTCCTAGAAAGCATCATAAAAATGCACTAAAAAATTCGAATTAAAATAAATTCCCATAAAATCCAAATCAATTCCATAAAAACCCTCAAAAAAATCCCAAAAAAATCACAAAAATCCCCCCCAAAAATCCTGAAAATCCCTTAAAAAATCCCCCAAAAAATCCCAAAAAATCCCGCAAAAATCACATAAAAACCCCAAAAGAACCCATAAAAAAACCCCAAAAAATTCCCATAAAAACCCTCAAAAAATCCCCAAAACACCTCCAAAAAATCCCCAAAAAATCACAAAAAACCCCCCAAAAAACCCTGAAAATCCCTTAAAAAATCCCTCAAAAAATCCCTCAAAAATCTCCCCAAAATTTCCAAAAAATCCCCAAAAACCCTCAAAAAATTCCAAAAATATCCTGGAAAAAATCCCCCAAAATTTCCAATGAAATCAAAAAAACCCTCAAAAAATCTCAAAAAAATCCCAAAAAAATCCCCAAAAAATCCCCAAAAAATCCCTAAAAAAACCTCAAAAAATCCCAAAAATTCCTCCAAAAAATCCCCAAAAAATCACGAAAATCCCCCCAAAAAAATCCTGAAAATCCCTTAAAAAATCCCCCAAAAATCGCCCAAAAAATAAAAAAAAAATCCCAAAAACCCTCAAAAAATCCCAAAAAATTTCCATAAAAACCCCAAAAAATCCCAAAAAAATCCCAAAAAAATCCCAAAAAAATCCCAAAAAATCCCAAAAAAATCCCCCAAAAAATCCTGAAAAATCCCAAAAAATCCCCCAAAAAATCCCAAAAAATCCCGAAAAAAATCCCAAAAAATCCCAAAAAAATCCCAAAAAAATCCCCAAAAAAATCCCAAAAAAATCCCAAAAAATCCCCAAAAAATCCCAAAAAAACCCCCAAAAAATCCCAAAAAATCCCCCAAAAAATCCCAAAAAATCCCAAAAAAATCCCCAAAAAATCCCCAAAAAATCCCAAAAAAAATCCCAAAAAATCCCCAAAAAATCCCCAAAAAATCCCAAAAAATCCCCAAAAAATTCCCAAAAAATCCCCCCAAAATTCCCGGGATTCCCCGAAGCTGCCCCAAGGCCAATTCCATGGAATTTCCCTGGAATTCTGGGAATTGCTGGAGCACTGACGGGCGCTGTTGAGGAGGTGGCGCAGCACGAGCAGGGATCCCACGCGGAGCCGTTCCGAGCCGCTCTCCAATTTCGGGAGCAGGAAAAGGAGGAGCCGATCCGGGAAAGGAAAAGCTGGAAAAATCGGGATAAAAATCAGGGAATTTTGGGAATTGCAGTGGGAATTGAGGGGGGGATGGGGGGTTGGGGAGGGATGGGGAAATGAGGGGAAATTGGGGGAAAATGGGAATAAAAGGGGGAAAATTGGGGGGGAAATGATGAAAAAATTGGGATAAATATGAACAGAAATTAAAGGGAAATTGGGGAAAAATTGGGGAAAAATTGGGGAAAAATTAGGGGGAAAATGGGGGAAAAATTAGGGAAAAATTGGGGGAAAATTGGGGAAGTTGGGGAAAAAATTAGGGGAAAACTGGGAAAAAATTTGGGATAAATTGGGGGGAAAATGGGGAAAAATTGGAGGGAAAATTTGGGAAAAATTGGGGAGAAACTGGGAGGAAATTGGGGAAAATTGGAAAACAAAGGGGGGAATTGAGGAAAAAATGTTAAAAATTGGGAAAATAGGAGCAAAAATTGGGGAAAAAATTAGGGGAAAATTGGGAAAAAATTGGGGGAAATTTGGGGAAAATTTGGGGGAAAAAATGGGGGAAATTCAGGAAAAATTGGGGAAAAACTGGGGGGAAACTGAGGGAAAAATTGGGGGAAATTTGGTGAGAATTGGGAAAAAATTGGAGAAAAAATTGGGAGAAAATTGAGGAAAATTGGAGAAAAAAGGGGGAATTGAGAAAAAAACTGGGTAAAAATTGGGAAAAAAAGGGGCAAAAATTAAGGAAAAAAAATTGGGGGAAAATTGGGAAAAAATTGGAGAAAAATAAGGGGGAAATTCAGCAAAAATTGGGAAAAATTGGGAAGAAATTGGGGGGAAATTGGAGAAAAATGGGGGGAATTGTAGAAAAAATTGAGAAAAAATTGGGAAAAAAGGGACAAAAATTGAGGAAAAAATTGGGGAAAAATTGGGAAAAATTTGGAGGAAATTGGGGAGAAATTTGGGAAAAATTGGGAAGAAATTGGGAGGAAATTGGAGAAAATTGGAGAAAAAAAGGAGGAATTGAGGATAAAACTGGGTAAAAATTGGGAAAAAAGGGGCAAAAATTTGGGATAAAATTGGGGGGAAATTGGGAAAAAATTGGAGAAAAATTGGGGGGAAAATGAGGGAAAAATTGGGGAAAAATTGGGGGAAATTGGGAAAAAATTGGGCAGAAATTGGGGAAAAATTGGGGAAAATTTGAAGAAAAATAAGGGGAAAATTCAGGAAAAAATGTGAAAAATTGGGAGGAAATTGGGAGAAAATTAGAGAGAAAAGGGGAATTGAGGATAAAACTGGGTAAAAATTGGGAAAAAAGGGGCAAAAATTTGGGATAAAATTGGGGTAAAATTGGGAAAAAGTTGGGGAAAAATTGGGAAAAACTTGTGGAAAAATAAGGGGAAAATTCAGGAAAAAATGGGGAAAATTGGGGGAAAATTGGGGAAAAATTGGGAGGAAAAATTGGGGAAAAATTGGGGAAAAATTGGGAAAAAATTGGGAAAAAATTGAGAAAAAATTGGGAGAATATTGGGGAAAACTGGAGAAAAAAGGGCGGAATTGAGGAAAAAATTGGGGAAAAACTGGGGAAAAATTGGGAAAAATTTGGGGGAAAATAAGGGGAAAATTGGGGGGAAATTGTAGAAAAAAATGAGGGAAAATGGGGGAAATAATTGGGGAAAATTGGGGAAAAATTGGAGAAAATCTGGGGTGAAAATGAGGGGAAAAATTGGGGAGAAATTTGGGAAAAAATGGGAAAAAATTGGGAGGAAATTGGGGCAAATTGAGGATAAAACTGGGTAAAAATTGGGAAAAAAGGGGCAAAAATTGAGGAAAAAAATGGGGGGAAATTGGGAAAAAATTGGGGAAAAATTGGGAAAAATTTGGAGAAGAATAAGGGGGAAATTCAGGAAAAATTGGGAAAAATTGGGGGGAAATTGGGGAAAAAATTGATAAAAATTGGGGAGAAATAGGGAAAATTTTTTGGAAAAAATTGGGGGAAAATTGAGGGAAAAAATTGGGGGAAAATTGGGGGAAAAAATTCGGAAAATTGAGATAAAAATATGGAAGAAAATATGGGAGAAAAATAGGGGAGAAAAAAAGGGGAAAAGGGGAAAAAATTGGAATAAAAGTGTGAAATTGGGTGGAAATTTGAGAAAAAATTTGGGGAAAAATTGGGGAAAAAGAGAATAAAATGAGGGAAAATGGGGGAAAATTGGGAAAAAATGAGAAAAAATGGGGAAAAAATGGGAAAAAATGGGGAAAAAGCAGGAAAATTAAGAAAAATTGGGGATAAACGGGGGGAAAATTGGTTAGAAAAGGGGGAAATTGAGGAAAAAAGGGGAAGAAATGGTTAAAAAGGGGGAAAATTGGGGAATAAAAGGGGAAAAATTGAGGGAAATTGGGATAAAGGGGGAAAATTTTGGGGAAAATTGGGATAAAATAGGAAAATTGAAGAAAAAAGGGGAAAATTGAGGAAAAATTGAGGAAAAATTGAGGAAAAAAGAGGGAAAATTGGGATAAAGGGAGGGAGATTGAGGCAAAATGGGGGGAATTGGGATTTTTTGGGATTTCCCAGCTCCAAAAGCTCTGGAAAACCCTCGGGAATTGCGGGAATTGCTCACCCAGGACGGAGAAGCAGCGCAGGAGCTCCGTGTGGTTCTTGGCGTTTGTGGGAACGTTGGGATCGGCCGGAGCACAAATCTGGGGGAAAATGGGGAAAAAACAATGGGAAAAAACAGGGGAAAAGTGGGGAAAAAGCTGGGAAAAAACAGGGGAAAAGGGGGAAAAAAGCTGGGAAAAAACAGGGGAAAAGGGGGAAAAAAGCTGGGAAAAAACAGGGGAAAAGGAGGAAAAAAGCTGGGAAAAATTAGGGGAAATATGGGGGGAAATGGGGAAAATTCAGAGGAAATATGGGGGGAAAATGGGGAAAAGTCAGGGAAAATATGGGGGGAAAATGGGGAAAATTCAGGGGAAATATGGGGGGAAAATAGGGAAAATATGGGGGGAAAATGGGGAAAATTCAGGGGAAATATGGGGGGAAAATGGGGAAAATTCAGGGGAAATATGGGGGGAAAATGGGGAAAATTCAGGGAAAAAAAACTGGGAAAAATCAGGGAGAAACAGGAAAAAATACTGGGAAAATTCTGGGGGAAAGTCTGGGAAAAGAAGGGAAAAACCTGGGAAAAATTGGAGAAAAACCTGGAAAAAAATCAGGGAAAATCTGGGAAAAAACTTGGAGAAAATCTGGGAATAAACAGGGAAAAATCAGGGGAAATTTGGGGGAAAATCTGGGAAAAACCTGGAGAAAATCAGGGAAAATCTGGGAAAAACCTGGAGAAAATCAGGGAAAATCTGGGAATAAACAGGGAAAAACAGGGGAAATTTGGAGGAAAATCTGGGGAAAAATCCGGGAAAAATCAGGGAAAATTTGGGAAAAATCCTGGATAAATCTAAGAAAAATTTGAGAAAAATTCAGGAATAATGCTGGGAAAAATGTTGTAAAAATCCAGGAGAAATGCAAGAAAAATCAGGGGAAATGCCAGGAAAAATCCTGGAAAAATCTGGGAAAAATCCAGGAAAAGTCCTCAAAAAATCCTGGAAAAAATCTGGGAAAAATATGGGAAAAAAACTGGGAAAAATCCAGGAAAATACCAGAAAAATCTGAGGAAAAGTCCCCCAAAAATCCCAAAAAGAATATGGGGAAAATCCTGAAAAAATACAGGAAAAATAAGAGAAAGATGCAGGAAAAATCTGTGGAAAAATCCAGGAAAAATCACTGAAAAATCCTGAAAAAAAATCTGGGAAATTTATGGGAAAACCTTGAAAAAATACAGGAAAAATATGGGAAAAACGTGGGGAAAATAAAGGAAAAAATTCCAGAAAAATCCCTTAAAAAACCCTGGAAAAATAAGAGAAAAATCCTGGAATATTATGGGAAGAATCTGGGAAAATCCAGAGGAAATAGCAGAAAAATCTGGGAAAAATCCTGGAAAATTACAGAAAAATTATGGGAAAAACCCAGGGAAAATCCTGGAAAAATCCCAGAAAAGTCCTGAAAAAAATCCTGGGAAAATCCCAGAAAAATCCCAGAAAAATCTGGGAAAAATCCAGGAAAAATAAAAAAAAAAATCCTGAAAAAATATGGGAAAAATTCTGGAAAAATCTGGGAAAAATCCCAGAAAAATCTGGGAAAAATCCAGGAAAAATCCCCAAAAAATCCTGAAAAAATCTGGGAAAAATTCTGGAAAAATCCGGGGAAAATCCCAGAAAAATCTGGGAAAAGTCCCAGAAAAATTCCCAAAAAATCCTGAAGAAATCTGGGAAAAATTCTGGAAAAATGTGGGCAAAATCCCAGAAAAATCTAAGAAGAATCCCAGAAAAATTCTAAAAAAATCCCAGAAAAATCTGGGAAAAATCCAGGAAAAATAAAAAAAAAAATCCTGAAAAAATATGGGAAAAATTCTGGAAAAATCTCAGAAAAATCCCGTGAAAATCCTGGAAAAATCCCTGAAAACCCCTAAAAAATCCTGAAAAAATCTGGGAAAAATTCTGAAAAAGTCCTTAAAAAAATCTCAGAAAAATCCCAGAAAAATCCAAGAAAAATCCTCAAAAAATCCTTAAAAAAAAATCCCAGAAAAATCCAAGAAAAATCCCCCAAAAACCCTGTAAAAATCTGGAAAAAATTCTGAAAAAATCTGGGAAAAATTCCCAAAAAATCCCAGAAAAATCCCAGAAAAATCTGGGAAACATCCCCAAAAAATCTGGAAAAAATCCAGGGAAAATCCCAGAAAAATTTAAAAAAAATCTGGGAAAAATTCTGAAAAAATCCAGGAAAAATCCCAGAAAAATCTGGAATAAATCCAGCAGAATTCCAGGAAAAATCCTGGGATTGGAGGAGAATTCCTGGGAATTCCCTGACCTGGGCCAGCAGCGTTCCCAGGAGCGAATCCAGCTGCGCTTCCAAGCTCCGGCTCCCGATTCCCACGGAAGATTCCAGAATCTGGCAGAGGCTCTGTGGGAAAAAGAGAAAAAAAAAATCAGGAAAAATCCCGAATAAAAAGGGAATTCTGGCAATTCCAGAGGGAAAATTCCCAAAAATCCCAATTTGAGGTTGTTCCCGTTTTTTTCTGGGATCAAATCCTGAATTTCCCTCCTGGATCCCGATTTGGATCCTTTCAATCCCTGATTTATTGGGTTTTTGGGATGAGGTTTTCCAGTTTTTTGCTGGGATATGAATATGGAGAAAAATCCTGGAAAAATCCTGGAAAAATCTTGGAAAAATCCTGGGAAAATTCTGGAAAATTCTGGGGAAAATCCATGGAAAATCCAGGAAAAAATCAGGAAAAATCCTCAAAAATTCCCTGAAAAACTCAGGAAAAATCTGGGAAAATCCAGGAAAAAGCCTGGAAAAATCCCAGAAAATTCCAGGTAAAATCCAGGATAAATCCCTGAAAATTCCCTTAAAAACCCAGGAAAAATCATGGAAAATACAGGAAAAATGCAGGGAAAATCCCAGAAAAATCCCAGAAAATTCCAGGAAAAATATCCAGAAAATTCCTGGAAAAATCCAAGAATAATTGAGGAAAAGTCCTGAAATAATCCAAGAAAAATCATGGAATAATCCTGAAATAATCCCTGAAAATTCCCCCCCCCCAAAAAAACCAGGAAAAATCTGAAAAAAATCCAAGAAAAATCCCAGGAAATTCCAGGAAAAATCCAGGGAAAAAAATCCTGCAAAAATCCTGGAGAAATCCAAAAAAAATCTGGAAAATTCCAGGAAAAATCCCAGAAAGAAAAATCCCAGAAAAAAAATCCAGAAAATTTCGGGAACAAACCTAGAAAAACCCTAAAAATTCCCTAAAAACCCAGGAAAAATCAGGGAAAATCCGGAAAAGTCCAGGATAAATCCCTGAAAATTCCCTTAAAAACCCAGGAAAAATCATGGAAAATACAGGAAAAATGCAGGGAAAATCCCAGAAAAATCCCAGAAAATTCCAGGAAAAATCCGGGAAAAAATCCAGAAAATTCCTGGAAAAATCCAAGAATAATTGAGGAAAAATCCTGAAATAATCCAAGAAAAATCATGGAATAATCCTGAAATAATCCCTGAAAATTCCCCCCCCCAAAAAAACCCAGGAAAAATCTGAAAAAATCCAAGAAAAATCCCAGGAAATTCCAGGGGAAATCCAGGGAAAAAAATCCAGAAAATTTCTGGAGAAATCCAGGAAAAATCTGGAAAATTCCAGGGAAAATCCCAGAAAAAAAAATCCCAGAAAAAAAATCCAGAAAATTTCGGGAACAAACCTGGAAAAACCCTAAAAATTCCCTAAAAACCCAGGAAAAATCAGGGAAAATCTGGAAAAATCCAGGAAAAATCCCTGAAAATTCCCTTAAAAACCCAGGAAAAATCATGGAAAATACAGGAAAAAATCTGGGAAAAATCCTGGAAAAATCCCAGAAAAATCCAGGAAAAATCCAGGATAAATCCAAAAAAATTCCCCCAAAAATTCGGGAAAACCCAGGAAAAATCCTGGAAAAATCCCAGAAAAGTCCAGGATAAATCCCTGAAAATTCCCATAAAAACCCAGGAAAAATCATGGAAAAT